AACCTATCCTATTAGGAAATAAATATAATACAATCGGAAAAAAATATAATGTGTGTATGCACGTTTATACATGCATAGTTTAATGCTACCGATGATATTCACAGAAACTCAATATTCACAGAGACTCCTGCAGTTACTTCGTGAACAAGTCATCAGTCGGCGTCGTAGAAATACCCTGCACAGAATGGATCTACGACGACTCCATCTATTCAAGCACCCTTACCTCTGATGTATGTCTTTCATCGCTTACATGATATAATTCTAGAGCAATCTGAGACGCTGCTCAGACTGAAGCACTCTCACCTCTGGTGTATTTCTTCTACCTATATTTTTATTTATAATCACTTACAATTTTCACTGCCTTCCAATGCATTCTGAGACACTACTCAGCCCGGACGGTCATGTGGCATGAAAATATATTCGTTTGTAATAGTTCATGATCTTAACCTTGGTCACAGGAAACTATTTTCTCTCTTCCTACTTTTGATTTATGTAAGACTACATTTTTTCTATATGGAATTTATTTGCAATACAATCTGGGTTAGGAATCTGTCTATTTCGGATCATATAGCCGCTTTGAATATATCTACTAAGGAATCATATCCATTTGAAATATATCTATTTAGAATTACATGATTGAATTAACGTAAAATATTAGTTTATCAACTTGTGATTTTATATGTATCCATAACCCGTCCTATTAATGAACATAATAACCTATTTTTCTTTTAAAAGGTGGATACATCAAAAACTCTGATATATAACCTAAGTCTTAGTTCTTTCAACTAAAACTTCACACTTGCCGCAGTTCGGTTTGGTTTGCGCCGAGGCCTACAACAGGGCTACGTACCAGAGTATTTACACATTTGCTGCGATCTTCAGCTCCACCCATGCAGGCTACTTAGCTGACAAGTACGTTCATTAATTATATGTTTTCTTGTGCATGCGTATACCTTCCCATTAATTAGACATGGTCGCCAACGTAAGGCTCTGATACGGCACAACAACATACCTTCCCAGCCATACTGTGGGATTCAAGGTAATTTTTGACAGATTTAGTTATATTTGTAAAACCTTTTATGTGAACATTCTTATCTTGCTTTTCTCATCGAAAATGAATGTTTGGTTGTAAATCATTTGATAATTAAAATGTGGGAGTGATGATGATGATGACTGACAGGTCGGTGATACATACATATATATATATATGTGTGTGTGTGTGTGTGTGTGTGTGTGTGTGTAAGATAAAGATGATAATGATACAATTATTAGAAAAAGAACCACAACAACAAGAAAATAAGAATTACGTTATCAAAATAATAACAGTATTGATGGTAATAATTTTTCTGCTAATATTAAAATAATGAAAATGATAATGATGACAATAATTATGATGTTAATAATAACAACAACAACAGCAGCAACAACAACAACGACAATAATAATAGTAATAATAATAATGATAATAATAATAATAATAATATTAATGATGATAATAATGATAGTGACAGCTATAATATTAGTGGCAATATTAACAAAAATACACTAATAAATATAAACATATCTATTTTGTCTGATGTTTAAAAAGTTCTACCATGTATTTACGTGAAGAAGAGAGAGGGAAAAAATAAAGATGTTTTTTTCCCCACACCAAGATTCGGGAGGAAGCCGGTCGTCCTCATAACCCAGGTCATCTACGCAGCCACAGGAATTGCCATGTGCTTTGCCAACAGCTTCCCGCTCATCCTCGCCCTCCGCTTCGTCATGGGCTGCGTCAACCTCCCCACCATCTACATCCTGAGTGAGTTCGGAGTGACGAGGGTCGGCTGGCGGCCGGGGCTGGCTGTCACGGGGTAGGGGGAGGGAAAGATATATACATATACATATATATATACACATACATATATATACACACATACACACACACACACACACACACACACACACACACACACACACACACACACACACACACACACACACACACACACACACACACACACACACACATATATATATAGACACACACACGTGTGTGTGTGTGTACTGGCTTGTTTATATGTACATATCTAATGTGCGTATATATTTATCTATTAGGTACTGTATTAATTCATGTAAATGTACCACCATATATATTTCTACGACCCCATTCGCGACTTCCCTTCGTTCCCTCCTTCATCACCAATTCCCTCCCTCCCTCTCTTAATCACTCATTCCTTCCCTCCCTTCCTCTCACCACCACTAGTTCCCTCCCTCCCTCCTCATCCCTTCCCTTTCGCCATCACTAATTCCCCCCTTCCCTCCCTTGTTCCATCACTCATTCCCTCCCTCCCTCTTTGCCATCGCCAATTCCCTCCCTCCTTGCCTTGCTCCCTCTCGCCATCGCTAATTTCCTCCCTCTTTCCCTCCCCCTTCCTTCTCGCCATCACTCATCCCTCATTCCCTCCCTCCGTCTCGCCATCACTCTTTCCCTCCCTCCCTCCTTCTCGCCATCACTCATCCCTCATTCCCTCCCTCCGTCTCGCCATCCCTCATTCCCTCCCTCCTTCTCGCCATCACTCATCCCTCATTCCCTCCCTCCTTCTCGCCATCTCTAATTCCCTCCCTCCCTCCCTCTCTCTCCAGCCATGGAAGTGTGCGAAGTCAAGTACCGCTCGGTCGTCGGCATCCTGACGGGGCTGCCCTGGGCCTTCGGCACCATGGCGTGGGGGGGTATGGCCTACCTCATCAGGGACTGGCGCTGGCTGCTGCTCTCCGTGTCGCTCCCCACGCTCCTCGTGCTGCTGCCGCTCTTGTAAGGGGGGGGGGGGGGAAGAGAGGGAGGAGAGGAGGGGGAGATAGGAGGAGGGGGAGGGAGGAAGGAGGAGGGGGAGGGAGGAGGGAGGAGGAGGAGGAGGGGGAGGGTGGAGGGGAAGGGAGGAGGGGGAGGGCGGAAGGGAAGGGAGGAGGGGGATGGAGGAGGGAGGAGGGTGGAGGGGAGGGAGGAGAGGAGGGGAAGGGAGGAGGAAGGAGGGGGAGGGAGGAGAAAGGAGGGGGAGGGGGAAGGGCGGAAGGGAAGGGAGGAGGGGGAGGGAGGAGGAGGGGGAGGAGGGGAAGGGAGAAGGCGGAGGACGAGGAACGCTCTTGGAAGGGGGAAGGGGAGGAAGGGGAGGAGGGGAGAATCGTGACGGGGGGAGGGGAGGAGAGGGAGAAGGAGAAGCCAAAGAGGGAGGGAAAAAGAAGGGGAATGGATGGAGAAGGGGGTAACAGGGGAGAGGGGAAGTGAGGAGAGGGAAAGGCAGGATATAAAGGGAGTGATACATGTGTATGTACACGAAGGGACGTACACATACGTACGCACTCCACACACACAGATAGATAGAAGGGAAAGTCAAATTTAAGTGAAATTAAAAACTTGGGGAATATGCGACTTAATTTTGGAATTGTGTGTAACATTCTTACACGTCAAAATTTTTCTAAAGAATACCAAATATACCGTTTTCCCCTTTTTTCTTGTTCTTGTTCTTCTCTTTCTGTTTCTTCTTTTTCTTCTTCCTCTCCGCCTCCTTCTCCTTTCCTTCTTTTTCTACTTCTTCACGTCCCCCAACTGAGAGTCACTGTTCTACTCGAACGCAAATTAACATGGCACGAAAATATAGTCTTTCTTTCTTTCTTTTTTTCGTTATTACTTTGAATTTGTTTGTATTATTGTAGTATTTTGTGTTATCACTACTCTCGTTCCTAAAACGATTTCCTCCTCTCGTCTCTGAAGCAAAAATCGCCTCACTCGTCCCTAAAACGACTTTCCCCTCTCGTCCCTAAAGCAAATTTCGCCCCGCTCGTCCCTAAAACGACTTTCCCCTCTCGTCCCTAAAGCAAATTCCGCCCCACTCGTCCCTAAAACGACTTTCCCCTCTCGTCCCTAAAGCAAATTTCGCCCCGCTCGTCCCTAAAACGACTTTCCCCTCTCGTCCCTAAAGCAAATTTCGCCCCGCTCGTCCCTAAAACGACTTTCCCCTCTTTCCGCCTATCGTCCCTAAAACGACTTTCCCCTCTCGTCCCTAAAGCAAATTTCGCCCCGCTCGTCCCTAAAACGACTTTCCCCTCTTTCCGCCTATCGTCCCTAAAACGACTTTCCCCTCTCGTCCCTAAAGCAAATTTCGCCCCGCTCGTCCCTAAAACGACTTTCCCCTCTCGTCCCTAAAGCAAATTTCGCCCCGCTCGTCCCTAAAACGACTTTCCCCTCTCGTCCCTAAAGCAAATTTCGCCCCGCTCGTCCCTAAAACGACTTTCCCCTCTCGTCCCTAAAGCAAATTTCGCCCCGCTCGTCCCTAAAACGACTTTCCCCTCTCGTCCCTAAAGCAAATTTCGCCCCGCTCGTCCCTAAAACGACTTTCCCCTCTCGTCCCTAAAGCAAATTCCGCCCCACTCGTCCCTAAAACGACTTTCCCCTCTCGTCCCTAAAGCAAATTTCGCCCCGCTCGTCCCTAAAACGACTTTCCCCTCTTTCCGCCTATCGTCCCTAAAACGAAGTTTCCCCCTCTCATCCCTTAACGCAAATTTCCTCGCTCATCCCTAAAATGATTTTCCTCTCTTCGTCCCTAAAACGACTTTCCCCTCTCGTCCCTAAAGCAAATTTCGCCCCGCTCGTCCCTAAAACGACTTTCCCCTCTCGTCCCTAAAGCAAATTTCGCCCCGCTCGTCCCTAAAACGACTTTCCCCTCTCGTCCCTAAAGCAAATTTCGCCCCGCTCGTCCCTAAAACGACTTTCCCCTCTCGTCCCTAAAGCAAATTTCGCCCCGCTCGTCCCTAAAACGACTTTCCCCTCTCGTCCCTAAAGCAAATTTCGCCCCGCTCGTCCCTAAAACGACTTTCCCCTCTTTCCGCCTATCGTCCCTAAAACGACTTTCCCCTCTTTCCGCCTATCGTCCCTAAAACGACTTTCCCCTCTCGTCCCTAAAGCAAATTTCGCCCCGCTCGTCCCTAAAACGACTTTCCCCTCTCGTCCCTAAAGCAAATTTCGCCCCGCTCGTCCCTAAAACGACTTTCCCCTCTCGTCCCTAAAGCAAATTTCGCCCCGCTCGTCCCTAAAACGACTTTCCCCTCTCGTCCCTAAAGCAAATTTCGCCCCGCTCGTCCCTAAAACGACTTTCCCCTCTCGTCCCTAAAGCAAATTTCGCCCCGCTCGTCCCTAAAACGACTTTCCCCTCTCGTCCCTAAAGCAAATTTCGCCCCGCTCGTCCCTAAAACGACTTTCCCCTCTCGTCCCTAAAGCAAATTTCGCCCCGCTCGTCCCTAAAACGACTTTCCCCTCTCGTCCCTAAAGCAAATTTCGCCCCGCTCGTCCCTAAAACGACTTTCCCCTCTCGTCCCTAAAGCAAATTTCGCCCCGCTCGTCCCTAAAACGACTTTCCCCTCTCGTCCCTAAAGCAAATTTCGCCCCGCTCGTCCCTAAAACGACTTTCCCCTCTCGTCCCTAAAGCAAATTTCGCCCCGCTCGTCCCTAAAACGACTTTCCCCTCTTTCCGCCTATCGTCCCTAAAACGACTTTCCCCTCTCGTCCCTAAAGCAAATTTCGCCCCGCTCGTCCCTAAAACGACTTTCCCCTCTTTCCGCCTATCGTCCCTAAAACGACTTTCCCCTCTCGTCCCTAAAGCAAATTTCGCCCCGCTCGTCCCTAAAACGACTTTCCCCTCTCGTCCCTAAAGCAAATTTCGCCCCGCTCGTCCCTAAAACGACTTTCCCCTCTCGTCCCTAAAGCAAATTTCGCCCCGCTCGTCCCTAAAACGACTTTCCCCTCTCGTCCCTAAAGCAAATTTCGCCCCGCTCGTCCCTAAAACGACTTTCCCCTCTCGTCCCTAAAGCAAATTTCGCCCCGCTCGTCCCTAAAACGACTTTCCCCTCTCGTCCCTAAAGCAAATTTCGCCCCGCTCGTCCCTAAAACGACTTTCCCCTCTCGTCCCTAAAGCAAATTTCGCCCCGCTCGTCCCTAAAACGACTTTCCCCTCTCGTCCCTAAAGCAAATTTCGCCCCGCTCGTCCCTAAAACGACTTTCCCCTCTCGTCCCTAAAGCAAATTTCGCCCCGCTCGTCCCTAAAACGAAGTGGGTGTCGGCTGTTGATTCTTAAAATAAATACCATTGCTCGTTGTTGATAAAAAAGAAATACTCTAACTATTTTTTTTCCTTAATAAATATCGTTGTTCTTGGCTGTTGATTTTTTAAATAGATAGATGACTCGAGTGCTGCAATTGCTTTTGTTTTGGGTAAGGTGTCTTTCTTTCTTCGCGGGCATAATTTTTTTTCCCTGTCAACAGACGGAGAACGAAACGAGAAATAAGGAGAAAGAAAAACACAGGAGAAATGTGTGGTCTTTCTTGAAAGTGCCGACGCTTTGCAGGTAAATTTTATTAGCGAATAATGTTTGTTTAGGGCTACTGAATGTTATGCAAGTTGAAAAAAAATATTTAAATCCATATCGAGCCACAATTTTGAATGATAAAACAAGAGAATACATGACGTTTTACAGAATATATGCCATTTTCATTTTATTTTAAGCCAGTTTCAAGAAATAAGCAACTTTTTCAGAGGAGGTATTTTAAACCACTTTTTTCCAGGAAATAAACCACTTGATACTATACACTAACGCCCCCTCTCCCCTCCAGCACTCGCCCCATAAGGACAATCACTGTAATCTTCAGCCTAAACCTCTTCATCTCCGCCCTGGTCTTCGGCGGCCTCAACCTAAGTGCCACCAACTACAGCGCCGATCCTTTCATCTACACCATGCTTGGGGGGCTGATGGAAGTTCCTGGGTATTCGCTGACGGCGCCCCTCATCAACCGCGTCGGGAGGAAATGGCCGACGATCTTGGGGTATTTCATGAGCGGCGCCACGATCTTTCTTCTGGTGTTCGTCCCCTCGGGTATGGAAGCACTCTGTTGACTTACACGCGCACACACCCGCACATGCACACGCACGCGCACGCACACGCACACACACACGCACACGCACACGCACACGCACGCAGAGGAAAATCTCCATCACCTAATTTCAGATATGTCCAGAAGCCACGCCCCTCTTCCATGGCGAAAAAGCTGATTGGCTGAAATATAAAATTCATTAAATTTACACAGACATCAGTGTTACTGCCTTAAAACACCAGTCATCAGTGTTATTTCCTTAAAACACCAGTCATCAGTGTTATTGCCTTAAAACACCAGTCATCAGTGTTATTTCCTTAAAACACCAGTCATCAGTGTTATTTCCTCAAAACACCAGTCATCAGTGTTATTTCCTTAAAACACCAGTCATCAGTTGTTATATATTGATAACAAGACCAGTAATTACTTGCAGATATTGATTATTCATATAATTAATAACAGAAAAATCCAGAAATGATCGGCGTTGTACTGGAGACAATACTATATAATCAAATGCTATAGCGGATGGTATTATTTTGGCCTCACCCCCTCCCCTCCCTCCCAACTGCAGAGATGACGTGGCTTGTGATGACACTTGCAATGGTGGGGAAAATGTGCATCAGTGGAGCTTTTATGATCTCTATCGTCTACATGTCTGAGATGTTTCCGACGGAGGTGCGTCTGCAGGGCGTGGGGGCAACTGTCATGGCCTGTCACGTTGCGGCCGCGATAGTGCCCTTCATTACAGATTATTTGGTGAGTCTCTTTGGATTACTTTTCTTTTCTCTCCTTTTGTTTGTTTGTTTGCTTTCTTTCGTTCTTTTTATTCCCCGTCTCTGTCTCTCTTGGATTACTTTTTTTTATCGAGTTATTCGTATCATTATTTGTTTATCTATATATTCATCTATTTATTATTGTTATTATTATCATTATTATTATTATTTATTATTATTATCATTATTATTATTATTATCTTTATTATCGTTGTTGTTATTATCGCCATCATTATCATTTTTGTTATCAAAATTGTTATTATTATTATTATTATTATCATTATTATCATTACTGTTACCACCATTATCATCCTCTTCATTATTATTGTTATCGTTATTATCATCATTATTATTATTAGTAGTAGTATTATTGTTATCATTATCATCATCACCATCACCATCATCTTCATCATTATTTATGTAATTAACATTGTCATTATTACTATAAACATTATCATCACCATTACTTTTATCATCATCACCGTCACCATTATTATTATCATCATCACTGTTATCATTACTCTCACCCCCCCCCCCATCAGGGCCCCTTCCTCCCCTGGGCTCCGTCGGTAATCTTCTGCGTGTCCTCCGCCGTGGCCGGGGTGGCGCTCCTGCCCCTCCCGGAGACGTTGGGCGCCGCGATGCCCGACACGGTTCAGGAGATGCCCGACGTCGGCTGCTGCACGAAGTACCGTCGGCGGGAGGGGAATTCCAGGTGGTTTGTTTGTTTATTGTGTTAGGTTTATTTGGTTTGAGGTGTTTTGTGCTTTTGTTTGCGTGCGGTTTTTTTTTTTTTGGGGGGGGGGTCGTTTTTCATTTGTTTGAGTTGTTTTCTTGTTTGCATGAGTCGTTTTTTTATTTGTTTGATTCGTTTTCTTGTTTGCGTTTTCTTGTTTGCATGAATAGTTTTATTTTATTTGTGTGAGTTGTTGCTTTCTTGTTTGAACGATTTGTTTGTTTATTTATGTGGGTCGTTTTCTTGTTTGCGTGAGTCATTATTTTATTTGTGTGAGTTGTTTTCTTGTTTGCGTGAGTCGTTTTTTATTTGTGTGAGTTGTTTGCGTACGTTTTTTTTTTGGGGGGGGGTCGTTTTTCATTTGTTTGAGTTGTTTTCTTGTTTGCATGAGTCGTTTTTTTATTTGTTTGATTCGTTTTCTTGTTTGCGTGTGTCTGTTTCTTGTTTGCATGAATAGTTTTATTTTATTTGTGTGAGTTGTTGCTTTCTTGTTTGCACGATTTGTTTGTTTATTTATGTGGGTCGTTTTCTTGTTTGCATGAGTCATTTTTTTATTTGTGAGTTGTTTTCTTGTTTGCGTGAGTCGTTTTTTATTTGTGTGAGTTGTTGTTTTCTTGTTTGTGTGAGTAGTTTTTTTTATTTGTGTGAGTTGTTGTTTTCTTGTTTGTGTGAGTAGTTTTTTTTATTTGTGTGAGTTGTTGTTTTCTTGTTTGTGTGAGTAGTGTTTTTTTACTTTGGTTTATTTGCGTGAGCGTTTTGTTTTGTTATTTACATTGAGGGAATTTTTGGTATGCGAGTCGTTGAGGACATTTTTGGTCGTTGACTGCATTTATTTTTCTGTGTAAGTTATATGATAGATCTTTTCTGCTAAATTTTCTTTCTTCTGTGAGTCACATGATATGTATATATATATATATATATATATATATATATATATATATATATATATATATATATATATATATATATATATATATATATATATATATTTTTTTTCTTTTCTTTTCTTTGGTATGTCATGATTTTTTTTCTGTAACTCATAATTTTTTTTTTTTGTGTGAGTCATATAATAGTTTTTTGTGTGAGTCATATACGTTTGTTTTTTTCTGTGAGTCATATGTGTTTTTCTGTTTACATAATTTTTTTTCTTTTCTTGTAAGTCATTTAGTGAATCTTTCTCTGAGCTGTATAATGATTTTTTTTTCCATGAGTCACTGAATTAGTTTTTTAGTCATATGTTAATATCTATCAGGGCTCTTATCTATTTATTTATTATTTTTGAAACCTGAAAGAACGGGCCTATATAACATACAAAAGCTGATTTCTTAAAAAAATATAATTTATCTTCCAGTCTCTGTATCGTGAACAAGGGAGAAGAGATGGAGGCGAAATGAGGATAGATAGAGAGAAAAAAAGAGAAGAGCAAAAAGTGATAAGAAGAAATAAGAGGAAATGAGAAGGAATAAGAAGCATGGGTGAGAGAAAAACATAAAATTATGAGAAGGGATGGGAAGGAAAGCGACAAGAAGCAGGGAAAGGAAATGAGAAGAAATGGGAGAAGAGGATGAAAAACGTGAAGAAAATGAGAATG